GGTCCCTGCACCGCTTCAACTTGCAGTCCGGCATGCACCGGGGCAACATACCCAAAGCGGAAGAGGGCAAGGAGAAGGGCTCAGAATTTCAGGTCGGAGAGGAAGCCAACCACTTGGCCAGGTGCCTGAAACCGGGATCGAAGAGCTGTGAAGAGGCTAGGATATATCGAGATTTCTGAGCTGAAGGTATCGAAGGCAAACAGAAGCAGCTGCCGTTGTGTCACCCATGGAAGCTCTCGTTCATGCCTCCCCCTTTTTTAAGAAACCCATGCCTCTTCCAGGAGGACCCAGACTCATTCGGCGTGAAGGTGGTGAAGCGATCATCCTTGGAGGCCGCACCCCCTCCACCACCTCGGGCACACAATGGCCGCGTGTGCGGGCTCGCCATTACAACCTCGGCCAAGGTGATTTCCAGTGCTTCCCACCCAAAGGACGGGTTGACATACAGTTAACCTAGCCAATCAAACGGCAGGCCTTGACAGGGCTCCATGGGCCTTTTCGGGCCCGCGTCACAGTGCCCTTTGAGCCCTTTGATGATTTTCTTGATTTCCAAGAAATCCCAAGGACTGCTGCCTGAAGCTGTGGAAGCTCAGTACGCACGAGGCACTGGGCGAGATCCCCCTGAACAAGGGCCGGCCCGGCCGGCCCAGCTGCCTCATGCTCAAGCCCTTCGGGGTTCTGATCGCGGCATGCCTGGACGACGGCGCGCTGCCCATCGTGGATTTGAACAGCGAGGCCCGGGCTTGGTTGGAAGATTTGGTCAAACAGCCAGATCCTGATTCTAGATTCTCCGCCCCTGAAGCCGGGGGGCCAAAGAGACCGGTTGTTGAACAAGGCTTAAAAATTAAAGCGTGGTCGAGGGCAGGTGGTGTGCCAGCCCTGCCTTGAGGCCGTCGTGCGCGCCTTTGACTGCGGAGTCCCGGCCACAGATTTGGCCTTCACTCCGGACGGCCGGTGGCTGGCGGCCTCGCTCTGTGACGGGGGCCTCCGGATCTTCGACCTACCCGCAGCCCGGTGCATCGACTCCTTCGTCTTTGCGCAGCCTGCGCTGGGGCTCTGCTTCAGCCCCAGTGGCGCGTTCTTGCTGACGACGCATGCCAAGAACAACGCCATCCAGGTTTGGGCAAACAAGCCGCTCGGACCATAGCTTGGCAGCGAGAGGCCAAGTTCAAGGGCTGATGTGGGCCTTCCTCACCAAACCTCAGCTAGGGGTGTAATTTGGCTGGCTCAAGCATTGGTTTGTGGCGAGCTTATTTGGGCGTACAATGCGCGGGGACCTGCAAAGCGAGGCTTTGGAAAGATCCAGGGCATGCAGATTTCAGGGTGTCTAAAAGGGGCTTGCTAATAGGAAACCCAATCATCTACGACATGCTGCAGAATCGCCTAGCCTCGGGCTCGAGCCCGCCCAAAAAATGGTGTCGCCCAAAAGGACGTCATTCAAATTACGAATTCGTAGCAAACACAGTCATGCTCAGCTGTCGTGTCCATTTGCTTCCTAAGGTCCTAAGAATGACATAGTTTCTTTGCCCAAGTCATGGCTTAGTTTTTCCGGTTTGCGGCTGCCTGAAAACCGCGGACCGCAGGTTCCTCTTCGACCCATCCCTGTCAGCGCCGCTGCTGCGCCCTGAGCCTGAAGCGCCCATCAGCATCGACGAGCCAGGGGCGCCGGACGAGGAGGAAGAGGAAGCCGAGGAGGTTCCCGACGCGGAGACTCAGCTTGTTTTTGGTTCGCTATTTTGGACTTTGCCTAGGTTGTTGTTTTGCTTTTTGTTGTTTGTCGTTTTTTTTCGCTTCCTGTAGTCTTCCTGTTGGAGGCTTTTTGGGTTTGGTTGATTCTGGGCTTGGGGCAGGGGTTCCTTTGGTTGCTTTTTTGCCTCTTGGTTGCTGTTTGTTTCCTTTGCGTCGTTTCCGCAGCGGAAGCTAGCCGTGGTGTGCTAATCTTGTGTTTGGGGCAGCCTTGGGCAAGCTGCAAGAGTTCCAGAAGGGTTTCAGGAAAGTTCCGTAAGCAGTTTTGGGGAACGTATTATGACTCGATTCTGCTGGGATATTGGTTCATTTTGTTTTTTGGTTGTCAATGTTTTTGCTTTCGGTCTTCTTCCGTTGCTTGCCTCTGCCCTCCGCTTGCATGTGAGTCTTTTCATGACGGATCCCTTGGTGTACATCGTGTGTCTGGCGCTTTTGAGTCAGGGTAGGGCCCTTTTTTTATCCGAGGAGAAGCCGAAGCCGGAGGTGACGACCACACCTTTGGAGTCCTCCCTGCTGACGCTGTCGGACGTGCCGCCGGCCAAGGTCCTGGCGACGCTGCACTTGGACTTGGTCAAGGACCCGAGGGGGTTGGCGTTCAAATGGGCATGGATCAAAATTAAACCACCAGGGGACCGCAGGTTTTGGTCCATGTTTCCATGTACCAGGGGCCCATTTTGGGTACCTATTTTTGACCCACAGCCAAATAGGTTTTAACTTTAACAAGCAGCTCATAACCACACGTGGCACCATCGGGTACCCTAGATACCCCAAACCCTGCTAATGTTTGTTCACTGGATGGGTTCTTCAATGGGCCAAATGGTTCCCTAATAATGGTGTAGAAAGTGGGTCGCAAAACTGTTTCGAATGTGCCTCCGCTTGTTTTTTGATGGGTACCAACCTCTTAAATTGGGGTTTAGTCGGGCTTGCAACCCAACGTGCAACCAAACAGGCATTGTAGGGTTGGTTGCAAAACTGGTTTTAGCAACCCAGCCGGCAGCCCTTAACAGACCTGGGCAAACTGGTCTACCTGTTGGGCAAGGTTGGTACGCCCAACACCCTGGCCCCCCTTGAAAGGGACACCAAAAGCGGGTGTTTGAAAGCACGGTGGTGGAATCATGTTCAAACACGGCGGGTCGCCCAACCTGACAAGTGGATTCCCCCCCCCCCCCCCGTTCAATCAATGACAGGTGTCTGAATCCTAGGAGCGCAACAAGCCCACGCAGCCAGCCAAGCCTTTGCCGAACGCGCCCTTCTTCCTGCCAACTGCGCACGAAGGTGTCACGCCGCGGTTCGCCCCGTTGGGAGAAGAAGAAGGTGGCTTTACCAGGTTGGCAATATATGTTGTTTTACTCTTGCGTTGGGTGGGAGCATCCTGGTTTTAGTTTTGCTCAAGTGCCAGTTTGGCGATTTTGCCAATTGCCTCACAAAGTCAGGTGAAGGCACGGGCGAAGTTTCAGGGGGCCGCCCTTCGCTGTTTGAGCAGCTCACGGCTGACGAGAAGGCGGCGGAAAGTGAGACAAGAGCCTCAGCGATACAGCTATCCTGGCCAGTTTTTGTCGGGTGATTCGCTAAGTGCGCTTGCCCCGTACTTCTGTTTCATCTTTTCTTGCAGTGGTCCAACAACAGCGGCAGCAGCAACAGCAGCAGCAACAGCAACGGCAACGGCAACGGCAACAGCAACAACAAACAGCAACAGCAACAGCAACTGCATTCCAACACATTATTTGTTGGTGGGAAAGCTTGTTCGTGTGCGGAAGATTTCAGTTTGGCTTTGGCCCGTAAGGCGCGCCCTTCCAACTTTTGCTGCGCAAAGGGCGCTATGACAAAGCTTTGGAGCACCTGAAAGCTCAGACCCCCTCCGGAGTGCACTTGGCAATCGAGCAACTCGGGCCTTCAGCTAGCGGAGATGAGCTGGAACTGGAGCAAGGCGATGAATGACTTGAGAGTGTGGACGCTGGGTAAATACAATGGGGCATGTCCCATTTTACGGGGGGTCTGATACTTTCGGGGAAGCAATCCGCAAGGTTTATTCAGACATGGATTCAACGAGTTTCCTGGTGAGCTGATGGCATCTCCCAAACCCTGCGAGGCCTGAAGTTTTTCTTGCACCATATGGCGCAGACGCACTTTGCCGATGAGGCCGGGCTGATTTCGTGCAATCCACCGTGGTGCCGGGGGGGGGGGTTCGAGTCCATACTCTAAGCTGGAGCTCGTCCCCATCCCCGCCCCCACCACAGCCGCTAGGTGCAGGCCTACCTGTCCCTGTTTTTGGCCGCCCATGGTGAGGAGATCAGCGCCTCCAAGGCCGCATGGGAGTTGGAGTGAGCTGGGCGCGGCGTTTTTTTTTTTTTTTTTTTTTTTCCGGCCTGCTCTTGGAGTTTCGTTGTTTTTTTCTTTTTTTCTTGGCTCCCATGGCACGGGGAGGCTCCCTCAGTTGTGGGAACAGAGTGCCGATCCAGATCTGCCAGGAGCTCCGGACCATGTGCGCAGAACTGGGGGCGGCACAGGAGCCCTTGTTCGTCTCAGGCTGATTCAAGGTGTTAACTTTTTTTCCTTGTGGCGGTCATCCAGAAAACTCCAGCTGCTCCAGCTCACAGATTTTGGAGAGGAAAGCTGAGTTGACAAGCAACAATTCAAGACGCGGGCTGAGAGATGCTTCTTGGCTTTTTGATGCGACCCTTGACGAGGAGAAGTTATGGACATCGTTGAACACCCGGCCTGGATCTCGGATGTGGGACCTGGCTGACGGCGCATGTGGCGAGTTCTGAGGTTTGAGTGCTGGGTCCAGTTTAGGAAGATATCCGCAACATTGCCCTCTAAATGGGGTGGTTTGAAGGGAAGCCAGCCCCGAAAGCGATTTTAATATATTTTCAGGACCCCGCCAAAATGCCTTTACATTAAATGTTCAATTTCAGGGACAGACATCTTCCTGAGGTGTCAGAAAGCGCGCTGCTTTCTCGGCATGCTCACGCAGACGCAATCGCAATGGTGAGTGCGATGTTGCGAGCAAGCGTCCGGCCAGCGAACCGTCCGGCAAAACGCAGCGCAGAAATGAAGCCAGCGTGTCATGATGTCCTGGATGACCCCCGCATTTTGACACACACCCAACTTTCTAGGGTTTGATTCCCCATTCTTTTCAACCGTTCTTTCCAAAAACCGGCCGTTTTCCCTGGGTTTCTGGAGGTTTTCTAGAAAGAAGGATCCCTGGAAAGAATGGAACAGGTACCCCTAGAAACTTGCGCTGCTGCGAAGAGGAGGGAGAGAAAGAGGGAGAGGAGGCCGAGGCGGCAGAGGAGGCTGAGGAGGAGACGCAGTGGCCTTGAATTGTGGTGCCGGCGTGTCCTTTTTTTGCCCCGGAAGCCCTTTTGTCGTGTTTTGTTTTGTGTTTGTAGGGGGTGTTTCAAAAGAGGAATTCAAAGGGACACCAGGTTGGTAAGGTTGAAGGCTTCGATTCGATTGGAATCGAATCAGCTCCCAAACATGGCACACAACGGTATTTTCAGATGGCTGTTGAACAAGTTGTGCTGACCTGGGCGCATTTCAGCCACCTGAGAGATGTAAACCACTCCATGCAAACTACCGTGCAAATGTGCGTTCCAGCAGGCCAACAGCAAGGTCAATCCAACTTGTTGGTACGCAGGTGTGGCGGACTCTGGACCATGCTTGTGTTGTGAACATGATTTGGAAGCCATTTTCTGGGCATCGCACCTGCCAAGCAACCTTGCTCTTTGAGAGGCCCCGGATTGCAATTCTTCACTGTCCTTTTTTTTGCTTCCACGCAAAAGAGTCGCTTTTTTCCATGAGGCCGAATACATCCGTTAGGCCAAGCTGGTGTTGTGCAGGAGGAAGAGGCGGAGGAATGCCGGCACCTCGCATGGCAAAGTCCTCAGCGCTCGGAGTTAGCCGCCCAGGTCCTGTGACAGCCCGCTGCCGTTTTGATGACCCAGAGGCCAGATGCGGCGTTTTGGGCGAGTTCCCTACATTTGGCAATCGAACCAGCTTCAGCCGTAAATCATGTTGAACCACCTGCACTTCCCGGGCAAGCTGCGGTAGATCACATGGCTCGCTTTGTTCCCCTACTTGCAAAGTTTGGTGTGTATGGCTGCTTTCGCCTGCAAGGGGGCAGCGGAGGCGATGAAGGCCCTTGCAGGATCAGAGGCAAGATACTGCGACTGTTTGGTCTGCACTGGGAAAGCTGCCAGTCATGGGACAGTTACATGGGTGTGGGTCAAAATTAAATACTAGGGGACTGCAGGTTTTAGTCCATGTTTCCATTTACCAAGGTTCCATTTTGGGTATTCACTTTTTGACCCACAGCCACATGTATACCTCGGTTCCCCAGCTGCAATATGAATGCCACACCTCGGCAGTAAGCACCGAATCTACCCGCTGCTCGTGAGCCGCGTTTGGGCCGGATGCGAGGTGCAGGGCGCCAAGGTGGAAATGGCTTTGCTCGAGGGCGAGGCCGAAGACGCCTACTGGGAGCAGACAAACAGGCGCCGGGATTCCGCAATCGTGGCCTCGTAACGCAAAATGGGCGCGTATGATGTTGCAAGTTTCTGGGGGTCGTGAAGTGGGAGTTGTTGGGGGTGTTTTTGCGTAGTCCTTGCATTTTCCGGGGGGGGCGCTTGCTTTGCCTGTCCTTGGCCATCTTGACCTTTGAGCCAAAGAGTCCGAGTGCCTCCAAGTTTGGATGCAGGAGGCTGAAAGAAGCCTTTGACAACCCGAAGGGCAAAGGAAAGAAGGGCAAGGGCAAGGGCAAGGGAAAGGACCGAGCGCTGTGCGTCTTTGCGTCTTTGGCGTTTGCACGGCACGCGGGCGATTTTTCACATCTAGCGCCTTGGCTCCCTGGCAGGGTAAGAAGGGCGGGAAGCACAAAGGTGATGACTGAAACCGGGCGCATGCCCCCCAGGCTCATGCATAGGCTGATTCACAGGCGGCAACCAAATGTAGAAAGTTGGATGCCCCAAAGCATCGGGCGCGGACTTGCTTAAGCCCTGGGCATTTGCATTGCTTAAGCGTGTTTTGAGTAGCCTGTGTGACTAAGGAGTGCCGTGTGACAGATCCCGCAGTAGATTGCCTAGAGATGCCCAACTGTGGCAGAGGTTTCATTTACAGCGCGTGTGCGGATGCAGGCGTTTGGACCCGCGCACAGTTGCCACAGAGAACATGTCAGCCTGCGGACGGATGGTTGATTGGCTGTTTGTCACACGCGGTTCCTTGCATTTCCCGGCAAAACTCGCTCACAACCCAGAATGGCTCCAAAGGGTGATGTTGCCACAAACGTGAATTTTGTGCCTAGACCAGCTTTTTTTCGGGGGTGGATGTTGCAGGGACATGTAAGGATCCCTCTTGCGGGCTAGGTGCCGCATGCTCCCTTGGTCAGGCCGACTTTTACGGCTGCCGTGTCCGTGCTGGCAGATGGCCATTGGAGGACCCGAAGATGGCCGAATGGTCGCAGCGTCTCAGGTGAGTCGAGTCCATTGCGCGTGCAAGGCTTGTCGTTCAGCTTGGGCTCATTTCAGCTTGCTGCTCCCATTGTCTTGGAATCTCCCGTTTGCTTCCACCCTGACTTGCAAAGGCCCCTGCCCCCCGAGACGTGCATGGTATTGCTTAATTAGTCGTCAAGTCTCCTTTCACTGAGTCCACACAGATGGCTCATCAAAATTACTTTTGGAGTGAGATCTCACATTTGATCCCTAAACCATCCTTCGGAGTGATTTCCGGGAAAGCCGCTTTCCGTGCCCCGCGCCCCGTTTCAGAGCTCCAGAGCTCCACACACCTCGCAGGCGCTCGCTGGATTTGCTGGAGGAGATGCAGGTGCCTGTGATGCGTTGTCTTCAGAGCGGAAGAATTCTTTTGGGGGGAGAGCGAGCTCACCATGAAGACCCCTTGCTTGGGATCCAATTCGTATGTCAGGTTTCGCATGTTGGTAAAACAAATTTAAGATTGGTCTTCGTAGCCCCCCAAACTCAACCCAATGGCAGTTGGTCCGCCCACCCCCCCACCCCCCGGCGCATGCCTTCCAAGCCCCAAGCCGCCGAGACGCCGAGCTGTACCTAGGACAAGCCAGCCGGCAACCAAGCCTTCAACCCTAAATCAGGCCTAAACGCACCCCAAACCAAGCTTAAGCAAGGCCTAAACCATGCCTAAACCCACCCTAAACCGACCCTAAACCAAGCTTAAACCAAGCCTAAACTCACCCTAAACCAGCCCTAGACCAAGCCTATAACAAGCCCAAAGCTACCGCAAACCAAGCCCAAAACAAAGCCCATGCTTAAGCCTCTTCTCACCTCTTCTCCGACAAATCCTGCTCGGCTTACTGCGGAGCAGGCCGAAGGCTGCACCCTTAAAGGCTCAGACCTACGCAGTCCCGATGGTTGCACACACACACACACACCGATGTCACACACCAACACAACTCAAACCGCTTCCATGGACTCCGTCCGTGGGGCAAGAAACGCTGCGAACATTCCCCTGCCTACGGGGCGGACAACTGACTCAGCTCTGCTTGCAGAGCGCCCACTTGGTGGAATCTGGACGCCAAAACGGCATTCGGGCTCACTCACACGGTGGTGGCAACCAAACCTACCGGCTGAGTGCCCCAAACAGGCAAGGCCACGGGGCTTACACTCAGCTTGCACGATGTAGCTTCTTTCGGCCTCACCTGCAACGTCCTCGCACCGCCCAAACGGTGTGAACCGAGGTTGTTGCCGCTCTGCCCCTCACTGGCCTGAGCTTAGGCATCACATCTTTGCTTGCACGCGGCTGCATGGGCATGTCCAGGCTCCGATTGCTTCCAAGCAGAGGGTGCAAGAGCAGGCACCACCATTTGCAGTTTGCATTCCAGCAATGCTCCAGGCGGACTGGCGACACCGGGCACACACTCCCCCATGACTGCGGGGACCTGCACCTGCCAAGCCATGCATACCACTGGGACCCCCAGCAACCACCTTGATCGGCCGTCTTGCTGTCATCGCCCACCAGCACATACCGGAACAGCACCACCCACAGCGTGTTGGGAAGGGATCCCTCCGCGCAAAGACTCCTCCCCCCGACCGCGATGGCCCCACTGCCATCCTTGCCCTGGACCGTGACGTCCACCTCCATGTCCACCACCGCCGGGCTCAGTGCGTTCTCGCCATGGCGGCACTGCACCATCCGCAGGAAGCCCCGCCACTGAAAGGCTCTTGGGCCAGGACTCCATGCCCCAGCCTGAACCAAGCCTAAACCCACCCTACATAAACCCCACACCAACCCTGGGGGACCAGGCCTAGCCCAAATCGGGAATCGTTGGTTTGCTAGTTGTTGTTTGTGTTTCTTTCTTTTTTTTGGGGGGGGGGGTTGGCTGGATGAAACATACAAAGCGGCAACCGACCAAAAGCGACAGCTCTCAACCAAATGAAGGCTGAGCTGCCACAGGTGTGGCTGAGAGGTGGGGGATCATACTCTTCACCACGACCATTGAGGGAGGGGGGAGGGGGTGACAACGCTGGAGTATATATATATATATATACATACTGCCTTGGCTCTTGGTGGCTTCGATTTGTTCCAGGCGTCCCGGCTGCAGGCAGATTCTTGGCCGCACTTGCAACAATGGAATCCCCACCCCTGCCCCAAAAACTGATACGTACCCTCGATAATCATGCAAATATGTATGACAAGGCCAAATGAGGGTAGATCCTTTTCTTGTTAAAGGGTCATTCCCCACACATCTTCCTTTGCAGCTACAAGGGAACTAGTGCACCGGACGCCGAGGACATCGCCACCTACCGCGAGGCCATCATGACCTTGGAGGAGGACACCGCAAGATGGCTGCCTTGGGGGTGGTTGGCAAGAGCCTTGCTAGAGGCATGGCGTTTTGCAGGCTGGTTTACTTTTCTCTTTTTTTTACAGTTGTTTTTGTTTGATGCCCCGTTCATGCTGTCTAACAAGCGAAGGGGCCAACTACCTATTTAACGCGCACAAACACACGAACCAGTCTACAAAGCATTCCAATTCCAAGCCAAACCCATATGACCAAGCAGCAAGGGGCATGCACAGAAAGATGCAGAGAAGATGCGGCAGGCTGATCAATGAGCTGTCATGCTGGTTTCCTTTAAGCGACGAACAGAGACATCCTCAGTTTAATGAACCGTGCAGCAGGATCAACATTGGAGCAAAGCGGTTGGGATGCTGGATGAAGCCGATGCCTCAATGACTCAAGAAGCCGAAAAACTCCAAGGTGCCCAGGAATCCAGTTGTTCAGTGGCACCCTTGGTCCCCCTTTTGGGGAGAAACACCCCCCACGAAAAAATAGGGCAATATGGTCAACCCCAACAAGTGTTCCCTTTTTAGCAAATTCTGCACCAGCCATTCCACTTAAGGTTCCGTCAAGATGTCGAGAGTGCATGGCCAAGGAGAGAGGGACATGGGTGGTCCTCCAAAAGTGCAGGATCCCTTTCAAATGAGACAGCATCCTGGATCACCAAGACCCATTCATTTTTCGTTGTTCTGACGCTTTGCTCACCAGCTCACATGTCCAAGGCTCGTGCTGTTCGCTTGCGGCCGGATGAGAGCGCCTATCGGGCCACCATAAAGGCCGGCAAAAGCCGAACCAGTGACAAGCGATCTCCAGCGGTGTCCTTTCCTTCTTGTGAAAGGGGATTTGGATTGACTCGGCCACTGGAGGTCTGGATTTCACTTTGAAGGAAGGGTCCCTTCACCCAACTGGGCTCTCTTCGAATGAGTTTCGTTTGGGATGACGATTGAAGTTGCAGAGGACACAAAGGAACCCGCGAAGTGACAGCGTGAAGCGGGAGCTGCCCGCAGGTCCTGCAAGCTGCGCGGCAATCAGCGACTTGGATGAGAGGGCCGTGACCGAGGGGTTGTCCACGTGTCCAGTTTGTTGAGCACCCCAGGGTATGCTTGAAACCAGTGGTTACTTCCCCAAAAAGAGGAATTTTTGGGCTAGAGAGAACCTTGTAACAACTTGTAAGCCAAAACTGGTTTCCAAAAATGAAGTCGTTTGCCAGAGGTCAGATCTGTTCACCAATGCAAATAATGTCGCTAGAGCCAAGCTTTTGCATCCGGGGGAGGGGTTGAATCGGCTTCCCGCCCGCTTCAGGCGGCACTGCAGCGTCTCGAAGAAGACCTGGCAGTTTTGCAGCTGAAGGTGCGGTTGTCCCAAGAGGAAATCAATTAAACAGGGATGGATATGTTGTGTGCAAAATGGGATTGAGGGAGGGAGCCCGAAAATCCACTTGCCCTGCCCGCTTGACATGCGACCTAAGTTGCTGGCGGTCCAATAAAGTTCAATTTTGTTTCAACTGGGTGTCTTTTGGTGGGTTTCATGTCAGTGGGTGGGAACTTTCAACCATTTTCCTAATTGGATGAGGGATAATTTCCATTCTATTCTAGCAAGCCGTTCTTCCATTTTGCGAGGAAGATGCGAGAAAACCCACAAATCAAACGTAATAGAACCTTGGGTTGTCCCCTTTTGGTAGGGACACGCCATGGAAGCAGTCACTTGAGGCCGCTTGGAAGTTCATGGAACTGGGAAGTCTTTGCATTGAGGCTATGCGCGAGCGGAAGTTGGGCAAAGCTTAGCATGGGCACAAGACGATCTTGGTCAAAGAGCGGGCTTCTTAACATAGGTGTCCTTTGAGGTCAATTTGGCACCACATGGGCTCCACTGGTTGCTGTTTGTTTAGAAGTGCCATCCATTTTGCAAAGGACACCAAATCCAGGATTGATAAACCCCTGTCCTTTACTTTTCAGGGAAACACTGCCTATGAATCCACCACATTGATCAATCCGTGGTTGACAACTTGGGAGTCTAAACCCCACACAAAAAGTGGCGTGTGAGTGGTGCCTGTGTAGGTGAATGCATACGTCCATGAACCCCTGGAATGAACCCCTACATTGCTTCTGACCAAAATCAGGCGCAAGACGCTCAAGGTCGAACAGAAGGACTGTCAAGCAGGCAGAGCGTTAGTGCGGCGAAGGACAGAGGGGTCGGTTCCCCTCTTTTGGCATCAGGCTTCAAAACAAGCACGCGTTTTCCATTTGTTTTGGTGGTTCTCTGCAAAGAAGGGTCGCTGGGGCAAATTCATGTGGAGCCGAAAAAGGGATCCCAAAGAGAACTCCCCCAAACACCATACTTTTCAGGTCCCATGTCAGGGAATCTGCAGGAATGCAGTCAATTCCCCCCCCTTTCCCTGCCCGGAATGGGCCCAACCGACACCTTACGCAGAACTCTTCAACCACTGAGCCACAAGCAACTCCTGAGTGGTTGGCTTCTTAAAGTTAACGATTGCTCCAATTTGTTTCATGGGTGGTGCCCTGGAACCCGCGATTTGAAGGCCAAGTTTGAGGATGTGACTTTGATGGACCCAGTTTTGATGGGTGAATGATTAATCGCAGAGTGTGGTATCAGGCAATGCAGCTGTTGTGCAGGAAGCGGCCAAGGCCGTCGAATGACCCCTCGTGCGGGTTTCAGACCAATGCAAAGATCCGCAAGGAAGCCATAGGATGAGGTTCGGGGTCAACACCTCCAGGCGGGTTTTCCCTGGGGAGGGACCTGCAACGAACTCATTTTCCCGCAGATTGACTCATGCCATGTGAGCCCATGCTCCAGGCTCCTCCGCCACATTGGTGGGGCGCTTGGCTGAAGGCCTGGGAAGCCAAAGTGCCAAAGGGCACGCTTTGTGTTCCAAACGGGAGCCCCCGTGGGTTGCCCGGATTTAAAGGGAAGGCGACCAAACGGAAGCCTAAGACTTGCGGTCCGCCATGTCTGAGACAAACCCAATCAAACCCACATGAGTGTCCTGTCAGCCTGAGCATGGGGTGCTGGCTTCATTATGTTGGAACGTCGTAGGCGATGTTACTTTTCGGATGAACCGGAGCGGTCAGAGGTTGAGCTGCTTGACGCGTGCAGGCAATTGCGAGATGTTTCACCGCCAGGACACATTTCCAGTTTTCATTTGAAAAAGAGTTGCTTCCGCGCCGTTTCAAAGTCCTCTGGACAGATTTCGCCAGAGTGATGTCCCTGCTCTACCACGCAATTTGTTTCGGTTTCGGTTCTGCTTGCAAACTTGCCAGCAGTTTGAGCGTTTCTGGTGTAGCCACAAACAAGTCAAGTGTCATGACGTCACATCACCTCCATGCTTATGCCCAGATTATGGTGGTTCCTTGTTGTAGTGGTTTCGTACTAGAGATTGCCGATGCAGATTTTTGGATTCTCCCGATTCTGATCAGCGCAGGTTGACTGGCGCAAGTATTCCGCAGCTTTGGGCTCGGCCGTGGGGCCGAAAAAGGGCACGAGAGCAGCGGTCAATATTCACCACATCCTGCAGCAGGGAAGCCATCCGGCCAATTGAATGTATTGGAAACTGAGGTAACGTACCGAAAGTCCATCACTTGGGGCCAGTCACCGAGGTCTAAAAGTCACTTTGCAGTAGGCCTGGGCCACCGTTTGTTTAAACATATTCAAACACGCTATAACCAATCTGGTTTTAGCGGCCTGTGGTTTCCCATGGAAAAGGGCCCAAGGTTTGGTTGTTCAAGCCCCATTTGTGAAGGGGCACATCTTGTTGTTCCACACCTTTTGGCCTGGTGAATCTTGACCGGCTCCGCTCGCTCATGTCATGCTGCTGCGGCTGGAGCGAGCGATGGTTCGCGGCTTCCGCCCGCGTGCCCCCTGCCTGGGAGGTGGTGATACGGCGTCGGGACTGCCGGGGTGCGGACGTTTGGGCGCATAGTGTGCACGCGCCCCCGGCCCTGCACAAAGCGCTCCGTGAGGCTGGGGACGAAACGTGACCTCGTTGGGTCGAGTCAAGTGGAATACATGGAATATTCCCTCAAGTGTGTCACTGTGATGTCACTGTAGGGCACTCTGACATCAACATACGTGCAAAAACATAGTTATCCAAACCATGTGCCTTGCTTAGCTCAGGTGTGTCAGCCTGTGTTTATGGGTGTTTTAATAGGGAACCCCCTTTTGGATGATTGCAAGGGGGGCCAGAAGGAAACCAACTAAATGTTTGTAGTATCTGGCAACCGCGTGCACAACTTGTTACCGCCTCAACAATCATGCAAGTGGACATGGACCCTTTTGAAGACAATGTTAGTCCCCCCAAATCCTCCTGTGCCACATCCATGAATAGTGGACATGTCCTTCACTCACACTATGACATCTGATATCAACTCAATGTCTAAATTCTCTCAAAACTGCGTGCTTTGCCTAGCCTAGGTTTGTTTGGGTCTACGCAGATTCCAACGAGCTCACCCAGCGTCGATGAACAGCAAACTGGGAAGTCTGGACTACAGTTGGGCGAATGGCACAACCCTTGGGGTTTAATCAGCCCTGTCTGCATGGGAATTGTGCCATCTACTTGTGAACCTGGACAAATTCCTGCACCAAGGAAGGAATTCCTCTGGAATAAAACTTTCCCCCTGTCCTCGAAGTTTCTTTTAGGGATGGGAAACCCCTTCGACGAAGCCTTCGACCCACCATGTAGTGGCTCACCTCCAACAGGAATTGGCCCATTCACCGTCCAAGTATGTTGTGTTTTGAGGGAGCCATCTTTTTGGGCCAAGGAAAACTGGGATAGTCCCACCCGTTTTTTTTTTTTTTGCGGACAAAATCAGTTCCAGTGGGAATCCCGCCTTAAAGCGTAGGGCGTGCGTTTGGTTTCTCAGGCGGCCCAGCAAGGGGACCCCAACGTGACCAGCGCGGAGGGGTGCCTGGCGCTGAACGAAGCGGTGAAGGCCAGGCCCGGGGCGCGGGTCCAGCCAGAAATAGCTGCGGATATTTCCGCCTTCTTAATTAATTCTTGACGCATGGTTCCGGGTCAACCATTTTTATACCAGGTTTTGGTTTTGACTCAAATGTTGACACCATATGGCCATGGGTTCCTATGGCGAGCCATTTTGGGGTGGATGAACATCCATTTGCCACCTATTTTGATGTTCACCAGGGGTACAGGATTTTGACCCACAGCCATATGAATCAACCCCAGTTGATTACGGGGTGTTGGCGAATCAACAAGTTTAGGGATCGCACATTTTGCCAGGGATCACTGTTGACCCCATAATAGGGGTGGTTGTTGGCCCCTCCAAAAGTGATTCCCCACTAAACCAAGGGACCCCCCGCAATAAAATAGACAGGGGTTGATCAATATGGGGTCAGCATTGCCCTCCAACCGACGTTTCCATGGGAGTGCACAGACCGTAGAAAGACTATACTTGTTTGTCTTGAAAAGGGGGTCTGTGCCATTCCATGCCAGTTGGTGGGAGGGTAAATATGAAGAATCTGCAAGGCCCTTCTGTGTGTTCCAAGTTAAAGGTAAAGGGGTAACCAAAAGGAGGTTGTGTAACCAAGACTGCGGATGGACAAGATCCACTTCGCACCATTTGGTATGAATGACGTCCAATGCAACAAATCGCATGAACCGACCAGCGACTGGTGCAGGGGTTTGCCCGTGCACAGCAGGTGCTTTGGCCGTTTCTCAAATAGGTTGGGTCGCCGAGCTTGAGGCCAACTGCGAGCACTTGGTGCGGAGCCTCATCGAGGCGGACGCCGACGCAGAGAAGCTGGACACGACAATGTTTCGTTGGCTAACCCCCGAAAGATATGAGGTCTCGCTTATTCCATATTTCAAGGTTGACTAAATATGCTAAATTAGAAACGGATTCCGAACATATTATGTTTGTGGCCTGGGGTTGGGACAAGACATGGGTGGTAAGGCGACACTGGTCCAGCTGCTCAGTGGCTTCAACAGTCCTTTGGGTTTGGCCGGATTCCGTACCAAAATGGACTCGACCCTGTAAAGGGTTCCGGCGGGTTCCAGCTGCTGTCTGTTGACGCAGAACATGACCCGACCCTCAAACAGGGTACCACCCAAAAAGACGAGGGTACCGAAAAGTACGAGTTGAGCGGAGTCGGTAGCCGTGGGCAGCTTTGCCTTTGACTAAATCGATGGTTGAAAAATCGTAGTTGTGGTTTGTCTTGGTTGGGAGAAAAAATGGAAACCACCTGTTTGAGTTCGGGTGGTCCAAATCCATAAACATTTTGCGTTGACCCCTGGGGTGAAAGTCCCTAGTTTGAGTCTTGGCACACACCGAAGTCGGTAAGGAAGCAGGATGCCACTGGGGAGAGCGCCCTGGAGAACGCGAGGCGGGGGGAGGGGGAGGGTTCCAAGAGTGACACATGCGGCTGGGTTTTGTGGTTGTTTTAGCTTCGGGCTGTTTATGCAAGGCATGCAACAAATAAATAATGGAGGGGGTTAAGCATGGTTTGCCAGCTAACCTCATTAAGCCAATGTGGTGTGTGTGTGTGTGCGCAAGCGGCTTTGGACGGTAACTTGTTCAAGCGCGTTAGGAAAGATAAATATTTGCCCCAAACAAGTCCCCATGCTACAATCAGTTGGGATTTGTCATGCAGGGGGCCTTGTGGCTTTAGTTTTTTCCTGAACATGATAGCGTGGCGGGTCATGTGACTAGCTGGAAGGGGTGATCTTGTGGCCGGCCGCAGTTGGTCCATAGATAAAACAAGCAGGGCCCGAAGGGAGAAAAGCCGCGCGCCCGAGGAGGCTGAAGAATGGCCAGCTGCTGAAATTGCTCCAGAGCGTGAGCTGCAAAAAACGGACCCTCGAGTTTCAGGAGGGCTTGAAGCTCGTCCAAGACGTGCCTCGCCGGCCATTGGAGTTGGATGGCTGGGCTTGGGACGTTGGCGCGGCGTCTTGGCAGCTTCAGGGCTTGCAGGGCTTCAGGCTGCTTCCTGCCTTGTGCCAGGTGCCCGTCTTTGCCACCATCCACCCCTCGGAGTACCCGCGGCTGGCTGCGGCCTTTGAAACTCGACAGGTGGCTTCTGGGGAGGTGATCCTGCACCAGGGGGACGCCAGCGGGGAGATGTTTTTGGTCGCCAAGGGGGTGGCTGACGTGCTGGTGGAGGAGAATGGATCACCTCCGGTGAAGGCAGGATCACAAGCAAATCTTTGGATTTTCGAAAGGGGAGAATCGCTCAGTCGTCAATGGCGACGTTTATTGGTTGGTCTTGGAGATCGTCCTCGTGAGGGACGGTGTTAACGTTTTTGTGTTGTATGTGTGTGTTGCTTCGGGGATGGGAATTTGGGAAGCTCCCCCCAACAGTGGTTCGTGGACAACCGTCCCAAATGGTTTCAAACTAAAAATCATAGGCTTGCCGGGCCTGACGAAGCTGGGGTACTGCTGGCCCAAACAAGTCGCAAGTGAACCAGCGGAATACCCACATCCAAACCTGATTATTTGTTAGGCTCTAGAGTTCCTTTGTCAGGCTTGCAATATGAAGGCATCCGCCATGCGCATATGTCTCAAACTACGGGCACCCAAAAGCAAATCACAAACCCACTTAAGCAGGGCGAAAGTAGGCGCAAGCCCCTTTCTGTTGGCAAGGGGGTGATGGTTGTTCACCAACAATTCTAGCTTTTGGCTCCTAGGTTTAAAAGAGAGCAACCTCCAAGGGTGTGCCCAAGAATAAGCGGACCCTTGTAAAAGGCATCTTCAACAAGTATCCCATCCCTTCCAACGGCATGGTCGAAATAAAGCCCAAGCCCAAGTATGTTTTTTTTTCGCGACTTGTTGTATAAGAGTCTGAAACACCAACAGCAACACAGGACAACCAACCCTTTCACCCCGTAGCCTGGACACCGACAGAGGTCTCCGAGCTGTGCGAGGGCTCCCACTTCGGGGAGGGCGCGTTGCTGGAGCAGCCCTGCGAGAGCTCCGTGGTCGCGGCCTCGGAGATGCTGCTGAAGGTCCTGAGCCTCGAAGCCTTCGAGGCCGATCGCTGGACTCGGCCGATCGACCGATCGAAACCGGGGTTGCTTTATAAAGGGCTGGGGGAAACCGTTTGGGGGGGGGGGGGTAAGGATAGAACTTGATTAATAAAGGCCCCCCCCCCTCAACAATGGAGGCGCTGGAAAGAAGTAGACTCACTTTGGGGACGTCCAAACAATGGAGAATTTTAGGGCCCAATTCTACTTTAGTATTGCAGCCACTTCCTTTTTGCAATTCTATTTTTGTATTGCAACCACTTCTTCCTGAGTATACTTTTTGGAATACTAGTTTAGTATTGCAACCACTTCTTCCTGAGCATACTTTTTGGAATACTACTTTAGTATTGCAGCCACGTCTTCCTGAGCATACTTTTTGGAATACTAATTCCGTTAGTAGCCATTCAAAGGGCGTGCCTTTCAGCCAGGGAGGGCTTGAGCTAGAAAGAAACCAATTGAAAGGGGAATGCCTTTAAGCAAGTGGGCCACCAATTGAAAGGGGAATGCTTTTAAGCAAGTGGGCGACCAATTGAAAGGGGAATGCTTTTAAGTAAGTGGGCCACCAATTTAAAGGGGAATGCTTTTGAGTAAAGTTTTTTCTGGAGGGGGCTGGGGGCTTGCAACTACTGTGGTCCCCCTAAAGAATGCCATTGTGGTGGTTCAGTGGAGTCTGTGAGGGGCACCCTTGTCCTGATTGTTTTTTTCTTCACTTGTTAAACACGGCTGAATAAAGAATTTGCAGTTTCAGGGCTGGGGATGGTTTTCAAATTTCAGAGGTTTCAGCTGGCTTTGGGTTTTGTGTTTGGGCAACCTATTAAAAGGGGAATGCTTTTTCAGCAAGACCAATTGAAAGGGGAGTGCTTTTAAGGACGTGGGCCACCAATTAAAAGAGGAATGCTTTTGAGTAAGGCAACTGACAGTTTATTTCCTGGAGGGGCAACTAATGTGGTCCCCCTAAAGAATGCCATTGTTGTGGTTCAGTTGGGTACCCCTGTTTGGGCATGTTTGTGAATTTGTTGGCATTTGGTATGGGGTCAACATGGATTTTGGGTGATTGCATGGTTTTTGAAATTAAAATTGATTTGCGTTTTTTGGGGAATTTCCACCCCCCCCGGCAAAACAGCTTTCAGTTATCCTGGTCCCCCTCAACAATGGGGGCGAACCAGAATAAGGAAAAACATTTTTAATTCTTGACCGTCACATGAAAAATCGGGTGCTAACATTAAAATGAAAAGCTTAAGGGGGAATTTTCGGGTGCTTCCCCAAACTTAAGGGGAACACCTTTGGGGTTGGATGGTGAAAAACCTTTGGGGGCAAAGGGGGTGTCCTGCACTGCCCAACGTCCAAACCAACGAGAACCCCCTCACACAGGAGTCAGGTGCGGTTTCGGGGACGAAACAAGCGATTTGTCCTGTTCTGTTGGTTCCCACTTTTCTAGAATAAGGTGCGCAGCAACAGGCCGACAGAGTTGAATGCTCGGATCTGATGACTCAATTGAAGCTTGTCTCTCGTGCGGCCCCCTGTGCGGTGCTGCGGAAGCCAGGGTCCCGCAAACGGGCCATGTTTTCGACGGCGGTTTGATTGAATTTGGGTTTGTCTTTCAACCGGGGACATCCCAAAACCAGTGGTGTCCCAGAAGCCACCCGGAAAGAGAGGAACAAAAAGCAAGCACGGTTCCCTCCCAAACCGGCGCAGCCACAAGCGTTGTTTAGGGGGAAGCGCATGGATTTCGGCGGCCGCAGGCCTTGGGCCTGAAGAGCTCCATCCGGAAGCGAGAGGCGGTGCGGACAGCGGACGACTACGACGCCATGGTGAACGAGAGCCTGAAACGAAAGACCGGCCAGGAGGCGGAGTTGATCAGGAGCTGGCTGAAAATTTGTTTCTGAACCCGCGAAACGGAGCTCATGTCTAAGGCTTGGCTTATCCAAAGGTCAGGAGAGGAAGATTGGGCATTTGTCTTGGGGTGCTTTGATCGCTTGGGAGGCGGGCTGGTGCTTTGTGAGCGTGTGGGGGCAAGGTGATGACTAAGGGCTGGACAAGGTTTTTGTGGCCACATCAACCCACCCCATGTACTTCTGATTCAACGAAGGGGTCTTCAATTAAAGCTCATGTCCAGGTGGGTCAGCTTGTAGTAAAATCTGACATGCTTGCCCTTTGCATCCCCGCGTTTAAGAAATGCAATTGAGGGAGCGCACTGACCCTGGAATGCCATGTTTGGTTCTGTTTTCCATGCCTTCCGGCAGCAAGTCCCTTGACTAGAATGACGATCGAGGAAGGCAGGAACATCCACTCTCATGTATCACAAGGCTTAGGTGAACTGTTTCACCTTTTGGCAATTGTTCGATTTCCCTAATTTGCGCATTGTACCAGTCAAACAACATTTTTTGCGAGGTCTGTGTCCCGTTGGAAGGACGGCGCTGAGCGCCAACAACAAGTTAGGGCCATTGGTCCAGTGCCTCTCCACGGAAGACCTGGACAACATTGCGGCAAACGCGTGGCGGCTCACAGTGGAGCCTGGTCAGGAGGTGATCCAGCAGGGATCCATCAAGGCCCCAGCATATTTGGGCCCTTTTGCCCGTCTGTCCGGGCGTGGGGGGACAACTCAAGATTCCCGCAAAAGCCAAGGCCAATTAATTAACTGCTTTCTTTCGGGATATGTGTATGTTCAGTATGTGGAACATGTTCAATCAGTTGGGACGCATCTTTGGGAAGTTGGCCCTGTCAGGCAGACAACTTCTACATCGTTTTTGACGGCCACCTGGAAGTCATCAAGGATGGTGAGAAGGTCGGTGCCGGTCCTCCGGTGGGTAAATCAGACTTGGGCCCAGTGCCAGAAGGTGTGACTTTGAGATTGGTGGCGCACACGAGCCCTCTATCCTTCCCACATTGGCAGAGGCCGCTTCAAGAGGAAGTTGATCTCCAAGGTTGCCCCCCAGATGTCATGTTAGTGGGAGGAAGGATCGCAAAGTGAGATGCATAGCAGCATATTCAGCCAGGTGCTGGACGTGTATCCCGGCAACTCCTTCGGGGAGCTGGCGTTGCTCTACCGGGCCTCAGGCCTCAGAAACATCAGCCAAATGGTGACGCGAGGTTTTGGATGGATGGTGTGAATGTTGATGTCCGTTGCACGGTTTCCCTGGAAGTAGCTCCCTTTTGTCAACCATTCAAGTGGGCTGGAGGTTTTGGAGACGACCATCTCAAAAAGGTTCTCTGTGAACTTCTATGCTTGTTAGACAGAGGGCATTGCCGTTTTTGTTGTCGCCTCACTTTGGAATTGGCACCTGTCCCACTTTGATGCGGCTTGCATCCCCATGCTCTCAGATGGGAGGCATCTCCTTGGAATCCCGGAACCCGACATCCCCTGCCTCCCTTTCGCAAAGGGCTTGCCTCCAAACAAAGCCCCTTGCACGCATTCATTTCCTCTTTGCGGGTATGAGTGAAACAACGTATGGCTGGGGTGGCTTCACCCCAAGTGTTTTCCAGCTGTCCTAAAGTGGTCAGGGGCCCCCCAAAGAGGGTACCCCGGTACCCCCAGTATTCACCAAAGAATGGGAAGCGCCTCGGCTAAGGCCCCGCGAGCGGCGACGGTGAGGTCCCTGACGCAGGCGACCCTCTTCGCTGTGCCGCGGCAGGAGCCGACCGGGAGACGCGGTTTTATTGGTTGGGGGTTCGCGAGTGGCTCGGAACCAGGGGGCTATGGCCCACTTGAACTGAGAAACGTGGCAAGTGGCTAAAACACATTGCCACAGAAACACATAACGACACCCCCGAAATACATGCCACCCTTCTTGGGGGCCTGTCCTGACCAATATCTCCGCCAGGATTTGCGGATGGCCATGCAGGCGCCACTGAAGAAGAAGCTGGAAGGCCGGGGATTCACTTGCGAAAGCTTGCTTTGGGAAACGGGCCTCGGAGAGGAGATGCCAGATTACAATTGAGGTTCAAACTGAATGGGGTAGGGCTGAAACAGTAGGAAGGGGGGCAGTGCTGTTGGAAAGATTACCGCATGACCTTGGGCAATCACGTGCGCAATCATGTATGGCCGCTTTCTCATAGCTGTGGAGGTTTTGCCGCGCTGCTGACCTCTCAGAGTGCCGGAATTTGCTTGTGCTGGATGTTGGTGCTTGAGCCCGCTGTTTTGCTGTCCCCAACCCCTAACCAGTTTCTTGATTTGGGCGCCTGCATGGTTGTTCTCCTTCGATGCCTTTTGATCAAGGCTCAGCCAGGTGGAAATTCTGCAGCACCTGGGGGCATCTGACAAGGCGCATGTTCTTCGGGCTCAGAGATTTCGGGCCAGCCCTGGCATTCAGATCGCCAGGAATTGTTGGCCAACCATCTGGTTGAGCTCGGCCCCCAGAAGGTTCGAAGCCTTAGTCACCGCTGTGCGCCTCGGATGTTTAAAACATTGGAGTGGATGGATTTGCTCGGACCAGCAGCGCCACTTGGAGACGTGGGTTAGCTCCGAGCTTCCCATGGCTCCGGCAGCGCCGCCAGTCCCGAGGATGACATTCTACGAGGGTGAGACCATCATCCAGTGGCTTCCTCGGGCAGTGCTTTGAGCCAACTGGGCCAAGGGCCAAGCATCTTTCTCGAGGGTTCCTTTTTGGGGTAGCTTCAAGGAGAACGGTGTGAGCTCAAACCTCAAACGGACACCAAAGGAACACCCAGCAGGTTGGATTTTGGAGTTCTTCCTTGTGGGCACAAACCCAGTCCCGAGCAAGCGCTTCCATGACTGATGCGGTTAGCTGCAAGGCAGGGAGAGGAAGGATATACCTTCTACATCCTCTACGATGGCGAGGCGGGAGTCCGAGAGCGGGTGTCTCTCGAATATGCACCCCCCCCCCCAAATCCACCCTGCCACCAAGCGGTCGGTTTGGTCCACTCAGCGTGAGAAGGGCCTGCCGGTCTTTGCGACACCACCTGAGTTGTTGAACAACCCACCTCCATGTGCCACATGGTAGTGCTTTCCCTAGTCGTACTGGTCTTCTACTACGGACTGTGAAGGTCTCTGTTCTCGTGGATGGAGAGGAGGTCACTCAGCTTTTGCCAGCCGGTGCCTCGTAAGCTTCACCTTGAGTTGCAGTGAAGGATGTTGCGCAAAAAACAAACGCCGTCGAGGCCTTGCTTGTTTCCTATAAGCCCCGATCTTGGCCCTTGGTTTCCTTTCTTGATTTCAGACTCTGTGAACTGCAACGGGTTGGGGCAGTTGATGGCTTGGGGCCTTGCTTTGTCAGACACTTTACACTTTTCCGGCGCTTCTCAAGTCCCTTGCCTGCGCACGACTCCGCAGCGTTTCCCGGCTGCCTTGGGCACTTTGCATTCCAACTGGAAGGTTCAGCTGATGGCGTGACAGGGCGCGTTTTGTTTTGTATCTTGCTTTGGGGGCACCGCCCATTTTCTGTGGAGCTTACTTTCCCTTTCGGTAGGCCTGCCATGGTCGGCTTTACAGGCGATCAAGATCGCAGCATCTGAGACATACCGGTATTACATCATATTCCAGAACCGCTTGGTTTGCAGCACCGTATTCTTTTGTTGAAGATCATGGTGTTGCAGTCGTTAACCCTCGCTGTTGCTGATGCTGCTGCTGGTGGTGAAGGTGAAGGCTTTCACTTTGGTCTGAGCTGTCCCCGGAGCTGACGGTGCGCGAGTGTCATTTGAAGTCCCCGAGACTCAGGGCAACTTCTTCGGCGAGCGTGCGCTGTTGAACGCGGGGCTCTCGGTCAGTTGACTGCCCCCCCACCACTCGTGCAATGCCAAACGTTTCATTTGGCCGTTTCTTGCGGCAAACACGGGGTGTGCAACCCGACGATCAAAGGGCACACTTCACCAGTTCCGGTTCCTTTCCAAGTACCGTTTGATTCGTTCCGGAGGCAGCCAGTCTTGTCAATTTGTCGATTGAAGGGTTTTGCCCATTAGTCACGGCCCCGACAGGTTGAGCGCTTTCCACATCTTTGGATGATGATAGACCTTTTTTTTTCGCTGCCGCAAGGAGGGTCCTGTCACAGCCTTCCATGGGTCAGGGATTGGCCTGAAGTGAGTAGCGCCGGAACTCCGGCTCGGAACCCTCCAGGAACCTGCCCAGCGTTGCCCCGAACCCGATTGCCTTGGACCCCATAGCCGTCGCGGGGGAAAGAGATGCAATTCAGAGAGGCTTTTAACTCTTTCATATGGCTACTTACTTGTTGTACATGGTGACTTCCTCGTTTCTTGGATGGCTTTGACTTCCGGTGCATGACTGGTACTTTCCATGACGCCTAGCGAGCGCCATCCTGGAAGTCAAGGACGAGCCACGGGCCGCGACCATCATGGCGACCAGTCCCAAGGTGGGCGACAAACCGGTCCCGGGCATGCGGTGTTCAGGTTCAGCACAGCCCATAGTTCCCTTGGGCAAAGTCGGGTAGATGGAACAACTGCGGCCCAACATTTCAACAAGTCCCAGGGTGTGAGAGAATGGATAAAATGATGTGTTTCAGACGGCGGAGCCGCATGATTTCGAGTTGAGGGTGGGGATGAGCCGCGTGCGTTAGACTTGGGTTGGTTCTGTGTTGTTCTGATTGCACACATTCCATTGCCTGCAGCCATGCAAAGGTGAGGGCATGCTCAAGCCGTCATGCCTGATGTAACGCCAGGTCCGAGTGCTGGCATTGGATCGTCACGGCCTCAGTCAGGCCCCAGACGTGGGAAGTTGGAGCAGCGTTTCCCTCAGTGCGGAATGCAAGCAAAGCTGAGTGCCGCGTTTGTTGAAAAGGTCGTATAAAGGGCTTCATGTGGGAAAAGCTTGAGCAACTCTACAAACTCAGGCGAGCATTTCCTCAGCGTTGTGCGGGAGACTCAGTTTCTCGTGGGCGGTCCACGCACTAAAAGATGTGTTTGCTGCAGGGAGAAGGACGAGATGTGGCATGGCCTCAGCCTGTGTCTCAGAACACTTGACAGTTCGCACAGAGCGGCTTGATATGCGCATCGCACATCTTTATGTCTACCTCGCTGTTTGCCAGGTCCCAAAGCCCTGGTCAAGTACGAGCTCAGAGCGCTGAAGCAGATCGGCCTCATTGGTGCAGACCTCAGCTCCCAACTGCTCGTTGGGTTCTGCGATCGCAGCTTCGAGGCTGCGGCGGCTTTGGCACGGTGACTCTTCGCAGGCCCGACGCCTTCGATCAAAACCGCTGTGCGAGAACCCTTGCTGGTGTGTGGGTGGGTTAGTGGGAGGACCGTTTGGTGTGAGAGCCACCAATTGGGCGCTGGGCGCCGAAGCTCGACGCAGGTGCACGTTGACCAACAACATTTTTGCACTGAAGACGTTGTCCAAAGGCCCGTGGCTGTTGAGTGCATCCTTTTGCTGTTTTCACGCCAAGGAGGGCTTAAACCCAGGGGTTGCCACGGTTACCTCTTTGCAGAACTCCACCTTCTCTGGGTTTAAGTCCACCTTGGGATAATCCAAATGGAACTCTGTTTGTTGCCCCTTGCGACCCCAAGTTCCAAGGATACATCGTGCAGAGACAGCGGCGGCCTTTTGAGGATGTGCATGCAAAGTGTCGAGGGATGCGCATGCAGCCGAGGCAAGAGCAAAGCGTGATCAACGAGAAGAACGTGCTGCGGATGACCCAAAGTCCCTTCATAATCCGGCTGGCAGCGACTTTTAACGGAACCTTGCCCGCATTTTCAGAAACGGTATCCCCACCCCCTAAGTAGTGTGTGGAAGGAGGCAGAATCGGGTGTGTTTGAAAGCACACCCCCTTCAAAAGTCAACGGCTCCCCTGCAAAAGCAAGCCCATAGCCTGTGAGTCCAATGTGCCAGAACCGCAGCGGCTCCACTTCCTTCTGGAGTCCACGGCTCAGAGAACCAGCCAGCCAGGCGAAATGTCCAAAGGACATTCGGTCAACATATTCCGTGGCTCAGAGAGGGCCAGGTCAACTTCCCCCCGCCACAAAACAAACACAGACTACCCCGCACAAATTTGCAGACCTTCGGTCGGAATGCCTTCGAGGACCTTTCCTGGGTTGGGGGCGGGCCTGTCTCTGGTGTTGCCCCACGCATCGCCTCTGGCTGAGGCCGGCTCTGGGAGGTGACTTGTTCACGGCACGGGCCCTGGTCGAAGCTTTACGCGGCTTGGGGTTAAAGGCTGTGTCTGTCCGTTGTTTTTTTGTGTTTTTTCCTCGGGGGGGGGGGGGACGGGACCCCACGCCGCTTGTTTTTTTAGGGAGGGGTTTTAGCATGGCCCTGAAACAACAGTTTTAAGTGATTTTCTTGAGGGGGTGGGATGATGATGAGGAATCCTGATCAGCCCTCCAACTCGTAGCGATGGTGAGGGTCCTTGCATCAATTGTTGCCACAAAACACAGTGCGTGGGAGCGATTGAGGTTTACCAGAGGAATAACTTGCACGGCTCAAATGTGCATTCTCGATTCTACGCGGGGTGCCCAGCAACGCTGAGAAGATGGGCGGCCAATTTGCATCCGAACTCAGGTTGCCGCTGTAATTCGCGCATTCCAGCATCTGCACCAGCGCCACATCATTTACCGAGACATGCACTTTGGATGAAAGAGCGTGCCGGATATTTGAAGAGCACACGCACATGACCGCACCGTGCAACGTTGCCCCGCGCGAGATGATGCGTTTTGCCAAGGAAGCCAGAAAACCTGTTGCTTGATTCAAAGGGCTACTGCAAGGCCGCCAGTCAGCAGTCTGCCGACCTCACCAAAGCTCGCACCCCAACCAAATATTTGGAGGTGACGGACTTTGGCCTAGCCAAGTTCGTCATCGGTTGCGGGCTCAGTGGCATCTTCCGAATCATCCCCTTGGGCCGTGCAGGTCCAACCGCGCCCAACACGCGATACACATCATAAGGCCATGCCTACACGACCTGTGGCACGCCAGAGTACTTTGCTCCGGAGATGGCAGGGGGCCCAGAGCACACGGCAGCACCTCGCTGTGTGGATAATGTTTGGCCTTGTTTCTGGGGAGGTGCTTCACATGGGGCACACCATCGCGGACTTGAGCTCAGAGGTTGAAAACACCAGCATTCTCCACCCGTTAAAAAGGTCCAAAGATCGGCTGAATTCACAGGGATCATGGCGTGAGGCTTTATGAGGAGAAACGCAAGAGCTGAAGCATGCCAGCTTCAAAAAAGTCCAAACCGATTGCGCGTCCAGGTTGATTGGTGGTCCCTTGGAGCCGGGAATCTCAGCCTATTGCTTCGGCGTGTGCGATTCGATGTTCTCGCGAAAATCAGGTGCTAACTTTTGAGCTCATGGCGGGCGATTCGTGGCAACCTCAGACATTCTTTCCGCCTTCTTGGCAGATGGGTCTCTTGTTGCGAGATTCTGTTCTTCCAATAGGGGAAACCAGAGCCTGGATGGAAATTAGGCAGTGCCCCTAATTTGTTCTGTTGCCGCCGGCCCGCGGAACCCTACGGACATGAGGTGACATCTTCAAGATCCTTGTTGTTCAAAGGGGGGCGGGGGTGGAAGAGTGGATGGCAGGCCCTTTACGGCGACCGAGCCCATGCAGGTCTTCAACCGCATCAAGGCTGGCATTCAGGCAGGCCAGGGTCAAATCAACAAGCTGCCCAGAGGGTGTGCAATAAGGGCATTCGAAGAAAAACCATTTTCGGGGGGGTCGAGGGGGGTTCCCGTATGTTGGACACGTAGGGGCTATTTTGCAATCTCCTTCATTTAGGCTATTGGTGCTTTAGGGTTCTTGACTGCAAAATAGACTCTACGTGTCCAGGGGGGGGTTCCCCGTTCTCCGCTTGGGGAAGAAGATGGTATGGATTGAAAGGTGCCAGAAGAGAACGAAAGGCAACCTCCCAAGCTGATGGGATCTCCCGCCAGCATTTCTGTCCATCGGGTTGATTGGAAGGTGGACTTGGGTGGAGGGGGTTGATGGTTTTGCTAGTGTTTCTATCTTGATGGAGTCGAAATATACGCCCTCTCAGACTCACATGTAAGCTCCACAAGGCCTTTGTACATGGAACCAAGTCTTCCAAAGGGGCCCTGGAAGCTTCCCTGTTCGTCCGGAGGGTATGTTCTGGAGTCTGGAGGAGTGGCTCGTGGGATGCGGTCTGTGCCCTGTCCGAAGGCCGTGGCCTTTCCAAAGAGTCCGACCGGGCCATGGGTGGACGTGGTTCACGCTCTTTGCCAGGAGGACTGGCACTGGGCAGGCCACCTTTGATAAACCGAGCATGGTGCCCTGTCACCAGGCTGGATTTGTCCCTAGGCCCTATGTGGTTTTGCTGAAAGGTTGTGGCCGTGTGCAATTCCATCGCTCGGGGGCAAATCCGAATTCGGGGCATGTTCTTCCATTCGCGGGCAGCAAGGGGTTCCTCAAGGGAGGGCGGTCCCCAGTTCGTCTCATAAAACGGCAACCGCCGCCTTGGGGCTCAGACATTTGCATTGCCTTCCGGGGGTCCACGTTTCGCTTGCGGGCTGCTTGGAGGAACCATCTGAGCGCCTGCCCATGCGGAAGAACGGGATCGCGAGCTTGGAGGCCTGGGTACTCCTTCGAACTGCGTTGCATTTGTTTGAGGGAAGCGTCAAACCGCCTGGGTGCGACTGGAATGACCGAAGTTCTCCCCACCCCTTTTCATCGCCAGGCGCACGACTGGTACGCTGACTTTGACTGGCCGGACTTCGATGCGAGGACAATGCAAGCCCCGCAGCCACCTCAAGGGGTGAAGGGCGCAGGGTGCCAGGCGGCCACATGCTTCGAGAAACAGACTGGAGACTGCGCTCAAAGCTGCTCAACGCAACTGGCACAAGGCGTTTGATGCTTCAACTGCCGTTTTGGCAGTTGAATGCAGTTGAGAGCGACGTCCCATAGCAAACACTAGGCCCTTCGTCGCAGTAGCCATTTGTCTCTGGGGGTCCTTATGCAGTGGGTCCTGATGCAGTCACCCGTGGCCCAGGTACTGCCCAAATATCAAGCGGCCAGACAGCCTGGCCAACTTTGATGCTGACGCCTCAGGGCAATGAGAAGCAATGTGTGCAGTGCTCCGGTTGCCCAGTTGCGCGCCTCTTCAGGTCGGTGACGTGCGACGGCCACCCATGATCCCTTACATGGATACAGGCCTGGCGTGACATTTGCCCGCATTCCTGAGCTCCACTTAGAGTTTGGGATGTTGGCATCAGGCTTACCTCCCTAAGCGAGGTGGCGCATTGAGGTGTACCAAATCATCAGTTGGAGTGCCACGTTTCTTTTTCTTTGCGGTGATGTTTGTCTTGGTGGGCATTGTGGCTGCTTGCCATGTGGTCATGGCAATGCGGCTTGTGGCTTGCCGTCTGCCCTCTAAAAGATGACCTTAACCTACCAACTCGCCCTACGCCAACCCTGAACCAACCCTTTGCAGCACCAGCCGACACAAACAAATTGCACCCCACACCTGGACGGCGTGGATAGCAAACCGCAAGCACAGCGTGGACCCGGCATTAGGCCAGTGCACGCGGCAAAAGCGCAGCACCGATTTCGAAGCCAACTCTAAGTTTCTTCGTGCCATACCTCTAAGTAAACCCGATATCAGGCACAGACAGGGGTAACATTGCCGCACACAGGGTGAGCCCAAGGTGCTTAGCTTAACCAGCCATGGCCTGTCCCCGCTGCAACAAACCTCAATCACCCGCCCTAAACCAACGTCCACCCATCACTCGCTGGACAGCCTACACATTACCAGGTTTGCAGTGCTTTCTCCCTAGGACACTCAAAAGCTGCGTTGAAACTTCTTGCCTTCCATTTGCGGGTTTCGCGGGCAAGCGCTAGAGCTTTGCCTTGCGAGCTTTGAGGTACCGGCTGGGATGCAGACTTTGAAGACTGCAGAGGGCCACGAACCTTCAACTGAGTTTTCAGATCGGCTCGGCTAGGAGCTAGGAGGCGTGCATGAATTGGACAAGCTGGTTTGGTGGTAAAAGCAGCTCATCTACGACAGGTGTATCTTTGTATGTTTGCCTCCCTTTGGTTTGCGACTTATACGTCGCGCAACCTCAGGCTGCTCGCCGGACCTTGTTCATAGATTGTCCAGAGGCTGCCGTCACCCAAACGGTGCGGTTGCATCGCTTCAGTCAGGCAAGTGGAAGAGTTCTACCAACACCTTCCCTTGTTCAAACCAGTCGGTAAAATAGGCAAAAATGCAGCTCACACATGGACGCGTTGGAAGGCAGCGGCTGGCACTGAACAAAAGGAAAACCAAAACGGATTTTGCCGCATTTATGGCTCGAGTGATGCACACTTAGTTGTTTTGCAGCTTGGTTTACCTGGGCGTGAACAAGTCGCGCCGTGCACGTGCGGCTCTCAGAAAGGCTCCATCTCATTCTGGGAGCGAAGCAGCTGTACCATGGGAGCGCCGATCAGGTCAAGCGAAGAAATAGACCATGGCGGAGAAGGAAGGAAAGCGGCTTGGGACCTCAGCTTGCCCGTAGACATGCTTGGCTAGCATCAAGGAGTCCGCAAGGCACAGGTTTCAAGACATGCCCTTGGGCCCTTTGGCATAGCACGAGAGAGGGAGAGAGAAAAGAAGCACCTCCCTCATCTTCTTAGGGTGACATCCGTGCTGGCCAGCTATTTCTGTCATGTCTGACGTATTTTTTGATTCCTTGCCAGCGAGGCATGTGTCCTTCAGCGATGCCCACGACAAGAAGGCTCCAATTCGATATCTGATCATGTTATGTACTGTAGCAATCTGGCCTCCAGCGCAGGCAGAAGATAAGTCTGCGCCCAAGGGCCGGTTGCGTTTTTGAAATGTTCAGCGCGCAGCGGTTGATTAAGCGCATGCGCTTGAGCCCAGCCGTTCAGATGCTTAAGGGTATGGCCCGGTGAAGGATGTGAAAGTGCCATGGCATATCCGGAGTCTGAGAGGCGAAGGATGTAGCCGGCAATGAGCGCTGTCACGACCATTCCCTCATTCCGATTCGGCGAAGTATCTAGCGCGCAATGCGTGGACTTCGTGGAACGATGGCGGCTTCTGCATATCCGGCATCACCACGTCGTTCCAGCAGAGGCGAAGAAGAAGCTTTTGCATTTCATCCTTGGCAGCAGCCTTGGGGCCTGTTGGACCTCTGAGAGCCCTAGCGGATCCTTGCAGAACGCCTGCGAGGCCATGCAAGGTGCAGGGTATGTGTGAAACTAGGTACCCCACATCATTGGTCCTCCTGGTTTCTTTTCGCTTTGAGGCAACTCTGGAAAGGTTGTCCTCAAACACATACACCCTGCAGGCGCCGGCGGCCAGTGGTACAGTAGCTTCGTGCTGCAGGGTGGGCTGGGTAGCGCCTTCATGGACTGCTTGCAGGAAGTTGTAGGAGAGGTTGGGGCATATTCCGCAGCCCGTATATGGATATGTATATCTAATGATGATGTATGTATATATACGTATATATATATATATATTTACATATATGTATATATGTCTACATATATATATATATGTAACCCCCCCCCCCGCAACAAAAATATACCAGCATAGACCCCAGATAGCAAGAGAGTGGTGTCAGCCAACGAACTAAAGACACATACCATAGCCGATGATTTAGTGGATTTGCTTAACGCGCCGCCTCTCAAATGGCTTCGCCAACGCACAATGGTAGCCGGAAGAAAGCGCTCCGGGAAGACTGCGGGAAGACTTACGGCTCCGCAGCAGCTGCGCGACTGAGCCTCGGCCTGTTGCAGCACCCTGCAGCAGCGCCCGGTGCAAGTCTGAGTCTCGGTGTCCCGCAGCGGCCTGCAGAATTCCCTTGAAGCAGCAGCAGCACCATTTGCCTGGCAACAGCACCTTGCAACAGCACCTTGCAGCAGCACCTTGCAACAGTACCCTGCGCAACTCTTGAGTCTTGCAGCAGCAGCACCTTGCAACAGCGCCTTGCGCAACTCTGCATCTCACCTTGCAACAGCACCTTGCAACAGCGCCTTGCAACAGCACCTTGCAACAGCGCCTTGCAACAGCACCTTGCAACAGCACCCTGCGCAACTCTTGAGTCTCCGCCTGCCGCAGCAGCACCTTGCAACAGCACCTTGCAACAGCACCCTGCGCAGCTCTTGAGCCTCAGCCTGCAGCAGCATGCAAAAGCACCTTGCAACAGCACCTTGCAACAGCGCCCCGCGCAACTTTGAGTCCCTATACCAACTATTCGTGTGTATCTCTCTTGTCTTTGTTGTATGTGTGTGCGCTGTTTGCGCGTGTTGTTGGTGTGTGTGTGTGGGGGTGCGTGCCTGTGTGTGTCTGTGTGTGTCTCTGTGTGTGTGTCTGTGTGTGTGTGTGTCTGTGTGTGTGTGTCTGCGTGTGTGTGTCTGTGTGTGTGTGTGTCTGTGTGTGTGTGTGTCTGTGTGTGTGTCTGTGTGTGTGTCTGTGTGTGTGTGTGTCTGTGTGTGTGTCTGTGTGTGTGTGTGTGTCTGTGTGTGTGTCTGTGTGTGTGTGTCTGTGTGTTTGTGTCTGTGTGTGTGTGTCTGCGTGTGTGTGTCTGTGTGTGTGTGTGTCTGTGTGTGTGTGTGTGTCTGTGTGTGTGTCTGTGTGTGTGTGTGTGTCTGTGTGTGTGTGTGTCTGTGTGTGTGTCTGTGTGTCTCTGTGTGTCTGTGTGTGTCTCTGTGTCTGTGTCTGTGTGTCTGTGTGTCTGTGTGTCTGTGTGTGTGTGTCTGTGTGTCTGTCTCTGTGTCTGTGTGTGTGTCTGTGTCTGTGTCTGTGTCTGTGTTTGTGTCTGTGTGTGTGTCTGTGTGTGTGTGTGTGTCTGTGTGTGTCTGTGTGTGTGTGTGTGTTTGTGTGTGTGTGTGTGTCTGTCTGTGTGTGTGTGTCTGTGTGTGTGTGTGTGTCTGTGTGTGTGTGTCTGTTGTGTTTGTGTCTGGGTCTGTGTCTGTGTCTGGGTCTGTGTCTGTGTCTGTGTCTGTGTCTGGGCCTGTGTCTGTGTCTGTGTCTGTGTGTGTGTGTGTCTGGGTCTGTGTCTGGGTCTTTGTCTGTGTCTGTGTCTGTGTCTGTGTCTGGGTCTGTGTCTGTGTCTGTGTCTGCGTCTGTGTCTGTGTGTTTGGTGTGTTTGCATTATGTTGCGTATCGTTTGTGTGTTGTTTGTTTGTGTGTGTGTTCTGCCACAAGCCTGTCACAGGCCCTCAGGTCTTGGCGCATCCCTTGGGACTTTTATGGCACTCCACGGGGACGGTGTGGTCCTTCTTCGGGTCCAACCCTTCTGCGGACAGTTTGGCCGGGAAGCCGGAACACCGGGACCAGCTGCGGCCCGGGGTCATCACCATGCACACCCAGGAGGGGTCCGAGCGCAAGAATCGGGCGACCCTCCAAAAGTCCGGGCACATATCTTCCTGGGCGGAAAAATGGGCGCACAATCGTTGGTTCGCCCGAGAGAAAAGCGGGATGGCGGGTTTTAAATTATCCAGGGCGTCAAAAACAACGCCCCGCAGCCAGGTCTCGGGGGAGAAGATCTGGAAGTTGCGGCCGAGCAATGACTGGGATGCCCCCTTTCTGCCCTGCGAGCGCTTGGAGGTGTGCTGCCGACCGGGAGACCAACTCGTCATAGACACGGCTGCCTGGTACCACGCGACTTCCATACCACCCGGCACTGACTTTACCTGGTCCGTGGCCCAAGACTTGAGCTCTGAGGAAAACCCGATTGAGCTGGAGTCTGTTCAACTTCGTGTGTCTCATCAGCTCTGCCAGCTTTGCATGACGCCAACTGCCGAGCCCATGGGAGCACCTCCTGGCACGTGTGGATGCGACTGCTGCAGCCAGAAGCGCTTGAATCATCGTCTTTGGCGGTGCTTTAGGCAAAGTGGGCTTCTCACCCAGCGTTTCATTGAGTCAAGCATGCGTGATCGAACTCCTGGGAGCTTCAACGGGCCGTCAACCCGGCTGGCAATTTGCGATGCCGCGCCTGCCAAAAGCGATGAACGCAGCGCCAGAAGCAAGCAGGTCATTTCCAAAATGTCTTCCCGTTCCAAGGCCATCAGGCCCAAGCATTCCCAAGGGCCCTGGAGACCGTTGGAAGATACCCACCAACTACGAGGCGCAGACTCCGCGCTGGCAGTGTGGCAGTGCATCGGCGCTGCTGGTTTCGGGCCAGGTGAAGCAACTCATCGGGACAGGCTCCTATGGAAGCGTGTGTGAGGCACTGGTTTGGCTCGAGGGAAAGAGGGATGTGCTTGTGGTTGTGCCCCAACCAATATATTCCTTGCCAAGCCTACTCGGAATATACCGAGTATGCGTACAATGTAAGGGTATGTGTTCGGCGTCGGCATTTTCCTTGGCCAGGCTTTTGACACCGATAAGAAGCGGCTGGTGGCTATCAAGAGGCCGGTAATCAAACGCCCTCACATTGGCATCTCCTAATCACATAGAGGACGTGCACTTTGTGCGGGCACATGTTTGTTTACATTGACATGTCCCATTGTTTCCTGTTTGGGTCAAAGATGGTCAAAGGGTAACGGAGAATCGTGTGCGCCAAGTCCTGTTTAGGGGTGGGGATTGCTGCGCCCAGCCAAATGTTCATGCGAAGGATCGCCCACATGTTCGAGGATCTCATTGACTGCAAGCTGGCTCCTTAGTTTTCCGTGCGCTTGCAAGGTTGGAATAATGATTGAACATTGAAGTCATGAAGTGGTTTAAAGGAGCACCAACTGATGCCATCTCCGTTGTCAAGTCCAGGCGCATCCTCCGCGAAATTGCAATCCTCTCCAAGCTCGAGCATGAGAACATTGTCATCCCCTGAGACTTGTGACTTGTGCTGACCCCTACAACATGTGCATGCCACTGCGCGGATTTGCCGCGTCCCTGTCCAGGTGCAGGTTTATGACATTGTTCGCTCCTTACGTCTTGTGGCCATCCACGGAAGTTTGCCACTGCGAGAGGCGACAGTAAGCCAAACTGGTGCGAGAAGCGGGTATGAGATGAGGGTGCTTGTCACCAAGGTTGCGCCGAGCAACATCCACACGTCAGCCCAGCGAGACTTTTGGCTTTTGGGTGCCGTGCGAGAAACTGGTTGCGTGGCAGGTTTGATGAGCTGTACATGGTCATGGAAATTTGCGACTCTGACCTGAAGAAGCTTTGTCGAACGGACGGGTGACAAGCATGCCATTTTCACATGAGTGAAGCAACTGAATTGCACTCCTGGGGTCCATGTGCTTTGTGTGAGCGCTTGGCTCTCCAGCACGCGCTGGGAGGACGTGACGCTGACACCGTTGCACATCAACACCCTTCTGTACAACCTCCTGGTGGGGCTCAGGTACCTGCACTCAGCCCGGAGCTGAGTACGGTAGTCAACCTGCCCCATGCCTCCAGTCGATGCTTGGCGCTGTGCATGTCGAAACCTGCCGCAAACTGTCTGAAGCTCCGATCTTGCAGCATGAAGATGAGATGGAACATGTCACTGGCAACGTCAGGCTTCAATCCCATAGGCTCAAACTAGGTGCAAGGCTTGGAACATCCAAGGCTGGAATCTACCATCGCGACTTGAAGCCTGCAAACTGCCTGGTCAACCAGGACACGCGGAAACGGATCCTTCAGTGGTTTCCAGGAATTGGCTATGCCCCCCTCGGCGAACTTGGGCACCCTCCCCACCAAGTTGTGCAAGCTGACTGGACAACTTTCAAATTAACAGCGAGTTCCTCAAGGTGCTTCTTCCCAACTGGGTGAGAAAGCGTATTGGGCCTTTGCCGCATGGTTCCAAAGATCGGCAGATCCAATTAGACAGGCCCCCTTGAGTGGCCTCTCCTATGGCATGTTTCATGGACAGGGTTCTCAATTTCGATGAGGATCATATGCCCCATGGTGAAAGAAAAGCTCTTTACTTGCGTGGGTTGCTATGGATGGTCACGGGTTCCTATTGAGTTCCATGGAAGCCACGGTCAGGACGCACTCTAAAAGGGGAGTTGCAGTGGCCATCATGGCCATGTGTTGGGTGAGTTTTCAGAAAGGAGGGGGACAGAACAGCTGGAACATTGCCCGGCGTTTGAGTCATTCCGATTACCCACATCTACTGGGTCTTGTGCCATCCACCGAATCACTTTTGTGTAGAAGTTAGATGACCAGGTTGAAAATAGATGGCCCAAGTCCCCTTGCTTGGGTAAGTAAAGGCAAAGACATGGAATGACTAAACCCGCATTGGGGATTTGTGCCATGTACTGTAATCCAGCTGTAAACCTTTTGGGGTGGCTGATTTTTCCCCAAACTTCTGGGCTTACACCTATACCTGCCCTTTAAACCTACCCACCCTACCCCACCCTACCCTACCCCACCCTACCCCACTCTACCCCACCCTACCCCACCCTACCCCACTCTACCCCACCCTACCCCACCCTACCCCCCTATTTCACGATTTGGGGCTAGGATTGCTCCGTTAAGATCTGCGACTTCGGGCTGTCGCGGGCCATCGAAGCTGCGGAGCAGCCGCATCTCCACGCGCACGCCCGGGCCATGCTTACGGAGTGGGGGGTTGGGGGGGTTGGGTAGGCTGGATGTGCGGGGTGGGCCCAGGGGTTGGGGGTGGGTAGAGTGGGGTTCGGCGTCAGGCGGTTTGGTGTGGGGCGGTTGTTTATTGCGTGCAATTGTTTCAGAAGGAGGGGGCAGTCCTTGCATCGTAAGGAGGCCAGCCCTTGCCAAAGTACTTAATCTCAGAGAACTCTCCCGCCTGCAAGGGGGCACCCGATTTTCATCAGGTACTGCGCGCGCGGCTGAGCGCAATCATTTGCTCCATGTCCCTGATCACTGGGATAAACGACCTACGGGTCTCTCTATTTCGAGAGTTTGCTCATTAGGCTGCTATGGCTTGCTCGAGGGAAGCCACAAGGTCAGTCATGCTGGGGGGTGGACACCGATGCAATCCCCAACAAATGACTGTATTCCTTCTGGCTTCCCTTTGCCCCAGCCGAAAAGGGTGCTCACAAACACGAATCAAACAAATAAACAAACAAACAAAGAAAAGAAAGAAAGAAAGAAAGAAACAATCAAAGAAAACAAAGAAGGAAAGAAACAAACAAAGAAAACAAAGAAAGGAAGAAAGAAAGAAAGAAAGGAAGAAAGGAAGAAAGAAAGAAAGAAAGAAAGAAAGAAACACACCAACACGCACACACAGTGGTTTGGGTCCATGGCAGGTTGCCGAACACGTGGCTGCCTCAGTTTGCAGTCTTGTCTCTTTGCATTTAGCATTTTTCACAACGAGGCCGCGAGGTGATGGCGAACCGGAGGCGAGAGTTGAGGGAGACGTGTTTGATGTCCAAGCCTGCGAACCGCTGCATGGATGAACTAAACTTGTTCTAACGATTGTTGAAACTGTGGATGGACAGAATCATACAAAATCCAATTTGCACCAGTTGGCAAGTGGGGTACTAACCAGTATTCAGTTGGTCCTTCCATCACAACTGGTGCGCAGTGGATTTTGTTCCGAGAAAGCGAAGGGCCAAAGGTCTGCCGGCTCGGGGGATCCGTCTTGCAGGCAGTGCCTGGAGTTCCCCACACTCAACGCTTGAAGAGGCGCGGTCCAGAGGTTAAAGCACGCCTGGCCATGCAAACAACTTGGGGAACATGTGTTTTGGCGCCCCTGAACTTTACGGCTGAAAGGAAAACGGCGGTTTTTAAGACCCCGCGTACGCGGACCCCCGCATCTTTCATATGTGGCTCGGGGCTCGGGTTGCGGCGCTGTGCGGACCCCCGCAGGAATCTCACTGGGCATGTGGTCACCAGGCCCCCTGCTCAGTTTCATGGGCCCGGCAGGGGCCCGGGGAGCAAATTAAGGCAGGAAGGCTGCCCACTTTAGGCTGACGTTTGGGTGAGCTGAGGTGGTACCGCGCACCGGAGCTCATCCTTCTGCAGGAGAATTACACAGAGGAGGGGATTCCGACTCATTTGGGTGCGTGTGGTGTTGCAGGGCTCCATTGTTCTGGTTTGCCGGTTGGCTTCAAGAACAATCAAGGGGAGAACCACTATTTGAGGACACCCCTATTATTCCATGCATGGTGCACCAACATAGCGCAGGCGATCGACATTTGGTCCGTTGGCTGCATTTATGTGGGGAGCTCAGCTGGCATGTTTGGCACAGGATTTCCCTTTGATGGAGGCCTTTTCAGATGAAGGGTGCTTACAAATCAGCTACCAACAAATCTTTTCTCCGTGGCAACTGGCGGTTCGGCTCCGAATCCCTCCATCCTTGTAATGGTTAGCCTCTGGCACGAGGCGGAGCTTCTCGGCATGCTGGAGGGCACCCGTACGCAGGCGAGAGGGGGGTGAGGGTGATCATAGGTATCCTTTGAGGTCAGTTTGGAAAATGGATGGGCTCCATTTGGTTTCAGCTTAGTCGTGATTATCTACCAGTGAAGCCCATTAATTGCGTTCATTGTCTAGAAGGACACCTCGGTGGCTGAATTTGGGACGGCTCAGGACCGAGGTCCGCTCTTCCCTGGGTCCTCCTGCTTTCCGCTGTCGCCGGACCACAAGCACAAGCTGCCCGGCAGAGATTCGGAAAGCCTCGGGGTCGGAGTCCAGAGCCATTCCGCGGGTCCTAAGGACAGACTACAAATACCACACGCCTGTCGCTGAGTTGTCGGGTTGTTTGAGCTTGCTAGAGCTTTGCTTGATGGATGGGCTGAAGGCGGGGAAAGCATGACCAGCTGAACATGATCTTCAACCTTCTTGGTGTGGGCCTTGGCTCTCTTGGTCTGCCCTCGAAGCATGAAGCGTGACTTGGCTTGCGCACCGGGTTTCGCCTTCACTTGTGGCCCCGAAGCGCCCAAGTATACTTTGGGAGCCACTGGCAGGAACTCCAATGGAAGGCGACATTGAGCAGCTGGAGCGTGAAGATGCCAAGAGGCCGGTGCTGCCGCTGTTTGCATGTGTAGTGCCGACCCCTTGCGGATGAATCTGAAAGATCCCCTCTTAAATGGGAAGCCCCCTATGAATCAACCTTGAGTCGACCAGACGCAAGATCACTGTGCCACAAGTGTGGCTGCTGCGTGAGGTATATTCGCTGTTTTGCTGCGCAGCGACCTCATGGCTGCCAGGGTGATTCTTTTGAGACGAATTGCCTTCTTGGAAAATGCCCCCCCTCCCCCTAACACGTCTCCATGGCATTGGCAGGTAAAAGGACAAGCCTTGCAGATAGGCCTCTCCCACCCTTCAAGGGCTTCTATTGTCCGAAGCCCCATGCCCACCCCACTTGTCCGGTAATCAGTGCCCCCAGGCGCGAGGGCGATGGCTTGGCAGCAAAATTCCCTGCCGTGGATGCCGTGGGCCTAGGGAAATCGTGGGCTCCCACTGGAGCATTCTGTTGTCGAAGGGGGAAACCGCAAAGTGTTCCTTGTTTCCCTTTGGTATTGGCTTTTGTTGTCGTCCTTTGGGTCTCCAGCATCCCTCAAACTAGACACACACACACACACGCACACGCACCATGTGGCAGGCAGATGCCATCGACATCCTGAACAGAATGCTGCGGTTCAACCCAAAGGACGCAGAACCACGGCAAGCCTCGCTGTCCTGTAGAAACATGGACAGTAGAGAACCAAGTGACTAGACTACCACCGGACCCATCTATTTTGAACAACACTGACCTAAAAGGGCTGCTACTTGGTTGGATCTTCAACCTTTACCATTTTGGGGACATGTGCGTCTGTGCATCGCTAACAGCAGTCTAAAAGCCATAACCTGAGCGTGTGTGAATAGGGGTCCCCACAAAATGCACGCCTTCCTTTTCCCTGTAAACCAACCCCAAACGGGGCCGGGCTAACCAAAAAAA